ATATACATATATTACATATATAAATATGTATTACATATATATAAATATATATATTATGGATATATAAATATATATATATTTATATTATACATACATATACATATCAAAATGTTTTAAATACATATATATACACTACACATTCATTTATTCTTTTACATATATATGTTATACAGACATACATCTCAATAACCAAGGTATTTCTAAATAGCTAGCCCCACTCTGTCATCAGGTGGCCATCCCTGGTGAGGGAGGAAAAGGGTGTATTGGATATAGCTAGCCTAAGGTATACATAAATGAATGAGGAAACTATTAAACAACTGCTAGAGACCAACTTGGGTTTTTCCTTGTTGGCTTCAGTACCAACAGGTAAACTATATACATGCAATCTTGGCCACGGCATTTGACAACATTACACATGGCTATGAATTTGTGAATGGTCAAAGAACACTATTATACAAATATAAGAAAAAATAAAAAAGGGATTTATGATGAAATATTTAGCAAGATTTTTCCTAAAAACTGTGTTTTGTGTACATCTACACATGAAATATGCTTTCCATTGAGACTCTCTGGTTATACGCTGTAAATAATATGGGGGGACTCTTTGAGTATTGAGTCCAAAGCACTAATGTTAAAAAATAAAAGAACAAAGAATCATAAATTTTCATTTTGGATTTGCTCTAACAGTTGGTTGGTTGGAAATTGGTTGTTTCCATTATAAAGACCATTCAATATGTAAGCCATCTGCAAGGTAAATTTTTGGACTTCAGAAATATAAGCAAAATATAATTTCATTATGCTGAAGATGTTAGTACACATTGATATTAGGAATTTTTAAATCCGTTTTGAGCATTGGCTTCATACAGCTACTCCACCCTTTTTATGCGCTTGTGGACGCTGCTGTAGACCATAGGTGTCATAAATACATAAATAACTGACTGATTATTTTTCACTTATTTACAAAGGACACCAACATTATACGCTTTTACCAAGGCCAAAAGACAATTTCTATAAATATCAAAAGAGAAAACGATTTTATCTGGGGTAAAAATGGGTTTACACCTATTAAATGAAGATGACCGAAATGTTTAAATTTACGTGCATGTGTTTACATACATATTGACCTTCTCAAAAGTTAAAACCACCAAAACCAGTGACTCAGTGACTCAGTGACCCGCTTCCCCCTCCCCCCTCCCCCCTTCCCCATGTTTGAAGTGTAGGAAAAATTAAAAGGCTTCTCTAATTCTCAAAGTTGAACTGATATGTAGTATCCATGCTAGGATTAAATTAATATAACAATTTTGTACTGATATTGCCATTTCTTCACAATCAAACTTTCCAAAAAAAATTAAAAAGCAAAAAATAGAATAAAGATTATTGGTATTTCCAGGTTTAGATTAATGTTTTTTAATGATTTTAATGTCTACTTTCATAAAGAAAAAGAAATATATCTTTACAAAATATGGTCCCAATGATAATCTCATTGCAAAGTACACTAAATGAGCTTTTATTTATAAGTATAGAATCATTAGATTTAACGGAAAAATAATATATATAACAAACTTTGACAAGTGTCCAAATTTTCAAAGCCATGTTGTATTGTTTCCATACTCTGCAGTACTGTCCAGCAGTTGTAATTTTCCTCTGCCGTGTTAGCATATGGTTTCTTTCGCAAGCAATTTGGGAGGCACAGGCCACCTCAAGGCCTTATTTTTTAATTTCAAAATAAACAAGAAAATATAGGTCATGTAAATTTGAAAAAATTATCCAAATATAGTTCACATTGGCAGCATGTCTCTCCCCCACCAATTGAAATTTAGAAATCAGGCATCATGGTGGCCTTTGCATAGAGTTGATCAAACTGAAGAATATTTTTTAGGTATTCTGGGAAAAAATAGAACCCATTGACAGTATGTTAGACCATAAAAAAAACCTCTTTGGGGGCTCACCCCTCCCTATAGGATAGTATGAATGAATGATATATAAGGCAAAGCACAACTATATACTCTATAACATTCAAAAAACGTATCTTTTTATGATCAGATGACCAAACAAGGTAGGCCGCACCAGGAACAGTCCCCTTAATGAAAATCCTTGCTGGCAAAACTGTTATTCACATATCAAATATATATATATATATATATATATATATATATATATATATATATATATATATATATATATATTATATATATATATATATATGTATATACACCAGTCTGAACAAAGTCCCATTTTTACCATTTTTTCTGTAGATCACTTCTTGTGTAAACAACTGCAACTTCTTGCCATCTACAAGAACATCATCTTCAATTTGCCTTACCTTAGTTGTGCATACCATAAGGATTAACCTTCCCCTATTCTTCTGACAAGAGTGTCATTAGATTTTCCTTATCTTTGTGTGATCATCATGTAAAACTATACCAAAGTATTACACACTGCACAACTGTCTTACTCTCAACTTGCAAAGAAATTACCGTGGATAAAAAGTGTCTCCCTTTACGCCTTTCATCTCATTATAATCAAAATTTCCCTTGTACCATATGGACGCGTGAAATTGGAACTACACCAATTTCCTGACCCGGAGATTTCAGCCCCATCCCCCTGCCATCACTGTATTTGCCTAACCAGGGGTTCAGCCCCCACATCCCTTCCAAAATAGTTTCAGTTTCCCACAGCCATATAGCACAAGGTAAATTTTGCTTGAATGGACAGAACGACTGAAAGCAAGACTATTTTCATCTAAGGTATTTTCCTCTCAAGTTGACAATAAGAGTTATGCAACACACACTTCATTGTACCTTTATTGGAAAATGTATAACAATATCATAAAGAAAGCGTAAGAAAACACTCACTGATACAGGAAATAATCTGTGCAGGCAAAGCATAATGTTAAATACGAAGAAAACAGGTTCCAACAAATACCATGTGGAGAGCAAGTCCACGGTGATTGGGTCAGCAACCAGATGCGGGTGTTGGGTGAAGCCCCCAGCTTAGAAAGGTTTTTGGCTCATGACATTTGAGGATTTTCCTGGTGTGGAAAGAGTAATAGGGACTTGGTCTCAGAGGAATGCAGTCACTTTGTAAACAACTACCAAGATGGTCAGTCTTCACAGTGTGGATGCACTAAGCTCGGGCAAATTAAGAATTATAATATTGTAGAGGACAAAAAGTTGTAGTCATTGGTACAAGAAATAATCTGCATAAACAAATGGTAATGCCACAAATAAAGGAAAATGATTGTGGAAAGCACCACCTGCAGCATAAGTCCACTCAGAACTCCAGAGTTTGACTCCATCTTGCCATGCATGCTGAGGTGAAGACAATGTTTGACAGGACGGTGTTGGGAGGCAAAGCCCCCATGAAGCCTCCTCTTTGGCAGTCAGGCACACCCAATCATGGCAATTTAGATTGTTGAATAAAGTCTGTGACATGGAGTTGGGGACTCGTATGCTGGCAAGTATATCCGCAGTATAAAGAATTACCATTACTATTATCTATATCATTTACATTATTAGGAAATATTTAGTGACTCATGCATAATGAAATGTCAGTAACTAAAATAAGGAATAATAATTACAGGGTTAGATGACTGTGGAAAACTTTTTAAACATTACCCCCCTTCCTGTCCACATTTCTCCCTCGCTGGTGCAGTCCTACATACTTGAACCACACCAAAATCTGGACCAAAGAGAGGTATTTGTTACGGAGCACAACACCCCCTTCAGAGACAGGCCCAAAACCAGGCTATCAAGCAAACTCATAAATCCAAACCTAACCTGTCCTACTTTTTATTTATTCCCTACACAGTCGGGCAGGCAAGCCTCCCCTGTATCCTCCTTTGTGCCAACTTACAGAAAACTGACATTAAGACTTCTGGCTGTGTGCATCTCTTATGAGCTCAGTCTGTGTGGTGATATGCAGCGGAGATTTTCGCCTTTTCACGGTAAATATCAGGCCACAGCATGTTGTTTAGGACTCTATTTCTAAGGCACTATATGATGGTAGTGTCCATTCCCTCTATCTCAGCGACATTACCTCCCCAAAAAAAGCCCAAGGTACTTCCTACAAAAGGTGCAGCATCCTCAAGGCCAATCCATCCATTAACACAATTACTTACGCAAAAAACTAACTTTTTAGTTTCACACAGCCATCCAATCTTCCAATTTTTATTCCTTCTTTCAATTATCCACACATGCACGAATCTCGTTAGTTTCCATCGCAAATGATATAAATAAAAGTATTATTAATGCATATGAGGTGACATTACCCTCTGAGATCCGGCCCTTTAACTCCTACATTCCTGGTGAATCCACAGGCGTCGCTGCAGGAACCCAAATCCTTCCTAAGCCAAGGGCTTCCCCCCAGAAACCCATCCGATCGCCGTGTTTCCCTATTTGAGGCTCTGCCTGCAACCCCGCCCAGTTGTGGCGTTGCAGCCTGCATGGGATGCATTGCAACCCATTCTCTTAGCTTTCGGCATTTTCGCCGACGCAGATTATTTCACGCGTTGGCGAGTGTATTTTCTTTTTGATTATTATGGTGCCATTACATTTTCCTGTAGACGCATACCAAAGCATTACAGATTTCACAACATTTTTATCCTCAACTTGCTAAGGAAATCCCACTGATGCAAAGGGTCTTGCTTCCAGCCATACCGTCCATTCAGGGGAGATTTTGCCCTGCGATGCTGAGCCGTGGAAGACTAGGCCTATGCCCAGAGCGCCTCTAAGGGCCCGGCTCAGCCCCGCCCCAGGCCCTACCTTGGCCCGGGGGGGGCAGGAGCGTCCCCTGGAGCTGGAATGCGGCTCCGGGAACAGGCGCCTCATTTCGGCAACGCACACTGGCCTCCGCGCCGAAGATGCAACGCCCTGAGGCTGCTTCGTCCCTCCTTCGGGGCAGCGCATGAGTGCATGGCGAGGGCTGCTCCCGGGAGGGCTGGTGACTCACCTGAGCTTCTGCTCTGGAGGTAAATAAGGAAAAGAAAGTTCGCTCCCTACCTTGCTCTTCACTTCTATCAAGGAACTCTGGGCTCTACTCTGGGATTTAGAGCTCCTGGACATTTTTAGGCGCTTTGTGGAGTCAGTCGGTTGGGAAGATAATCACATATCATAGATATTTTACATTTTAAAGCGCATTTTCGACAGCGAGGGCCACTTGTTTAGATTCTTAGACATTGGTGGAGGTCCTCTGGAGTGACGTCACGAGCACCTGTTGTTGGATCTTGAAGCAAAGCGATTTTCACGGTTTTTCACTTAGAGTTGGGAAAAATACAATTTATATCTCTTTGAAATAGCTAATTATAAAATGTATGTTGATTTTATAAGTAGAATGTGGAGAATTGTTCCCCTAATGGATAGGATCCGTAAATATGATTTGCGTTAAAGATGACCATTGACCAGGGCGACGTCGGGGCGCGCAGTTCAAATTCCAAAGAAGGCGCTCAATATAAGATACCACAAGATAAAAGATGCAATAATATAAGATATAATATAACAATATAAGAGATATAATATAATATAACAATATAATAGATATAATATAACAATATAATATAACACAATATAAGATACCACAAGATAAAAGATGCCACACTTAAAAGCCACTCAGCAATTCACCTTTATCATTGTACTTTTATATTTATATACCACGGGGTGATCTCTTGCAGTCCAGGTCGTTAAAATAAATGAAAGCTCTTTTGATATTGATATTTGTCATTGTCGATTTGGTGTGACAAACCAAAATTAGCATAATATCTAATGAATGTTAAGCGGATCCACAGTGGCTCGGCCTTGCCAATAGAAGCATCTCCAGTCTTTCCCTTTCCTCCAAAAGTTGGAATTCCTGATGGCTCCTCCCGTTTCCTCCCCTGTAGTTGGTATTGGCTCATTGTCTGAATTATACATGAACAATATTTTGTGCAACCACCGGATTCTTCAATTTACTATAACCAAACAATGCATCCTTCTTAATCAACCTCGGTTCGGCGCGCTGGCCCTTGTGCCACGGCGGCGACTTCCCCGACGACACCTGCGTTTGGCTCTCAAGGCGATATGGCGTTTTCTCGCCGTGAGATCGGACTCGAGCCAGCAGTCGGAGCAGGCATTTTTTTACTACTGCCGCGGCAAGGTCCAGTACTCTATTCATTGGACCATCGCGACACACACACACACACACACACACACACACACACACACACACACACACACACACATACACACACACACATACATACACATATATACATGTATGTATGTATGTATATATATGTATATATACATATGTATGGACTGCCGCGATGGTTCAGTGAATTTCTCGCCGCGGCGGTCGTAAAAATGCCTGTGCTGTGACTGCTGGCTCGAGTCGAGCCCGAGGAGTTAAACGCAGGTGTCGTAGGTGAAATCACCGACATGGAAGTGTCGGCGGTTGATTAGGAAGGGCATCCAATCAGGCAGGGGTGGCACTGCCATATAACCTCTCAGTAGTGTATTGAGAGAGGCCTATGTCCTGCTGTGGAATGAATGGCTCGTGAAAGGGGAAGTGCCAGAGAGGGTGTCCATCTAGGAGGGTGGAAAATAAAAGCGAGTGTAGAGGGAGGAACACCCTCTGCGGCCTTTAAGTCACTCCTGCTAAAGTGCAAAGACCAAGAGAAAGAAAACCTCTTGAAATAATGGGAAGTTGTACGAGACGAGTGTGCAACTATTCGAAAAATGTTTGAAAAATACAAGGACACGATAATAGCCTGGCGGATTCTCATAATATTAGAATATTATCGTTTAATGTGAGTAGTCTACAGAGTTACAGACGTCTACTGCTTCGTATTGAGAAACGATTTTGATGTAGTTTGTCTCACAGAAACCAGAGTCACAAAAGGTGATACTCTCATACTTAATAGTTATAGAGAATACCATCTTCATTCCGGTGACCGAACACGGGGAGTCTCAACTTATGGCAAAAGTTTAATACCTTCTGAAATAACAGAGACGCCGTACAGAACCAACGGCATAGAAAGGGTAACTGTGAAGCCACAAGGTGAAATGTATATTGTCACTTTATACAACTCTGGGTGATGCTTTGATCTCAGATATTTACCAGATTGCATTTACTCTGACTCTGCTCTGATAGTGGGTGACTTGAGTGCCAGACACCCGCAATGAGATGAGAGGGGCAATGAGATGAGAGGGGCATTATCACTGCTAACGGTGACAGATTTTACCAGTTTTTAAAGGATAGGCCTGATGCACGCTTGCTAGGTGGTAAAGAGGCACCGCACATCAAGGGTGGATGACCTGAATACGCATGTCTGCTTGGTAGACAGGCGATTCAAGGAGAATGTGGAGTGGTAAGAAAACTACTCAGTAATAATTTCGCGTTGTATGTTAAGTTAGCTATAGAAAAAAAAATACATTTCAGAGAAAACGCCTTTCACTGAGGGCTTAATTCTGTTAGCGGCCAGGATTGGATTTAATTCACCTCCGGACCAGACTTTCCTTCTGGGTTCAAATCTGTAGAATAGCAGAATGAGCTACTTAACCCAAGCAATCATGTATCGAAAGCTTTTAATAACAACACGATTAGGTTTCAAACTCAAAGTACAACCTTCCTGATTTAAACTATAGTGACATCAAACCGCTTGGACATTTGTTATCATGATCCTCGCTAGCAACACCCTGAAAAGACTGCCCTACCCAAGCCTCGCGATCACACACGAGAAAGAGCTCTTGGAAAACTCCCGCTTATATAAATTGATATTATGAGTATCTCATTTTTGTTTGAAAACCTCGGTTGTTTTTAATATTTACAGGCTATTTGAAGCCATTTATATAATTTTATTTGTACTGACACAGATATATATCGACATGATATAATACTAGCGTATATGCGTATACATATATATTTGTTTTCCTCTGTAGCAAACGCCTTAGAATTATTAAGTATTAGGTCCCAGAAATTGAGGATTTCTGGCTCCTGGTATCAGCGTTCTGACCAGCATCACTGGATTTGGTAATGTGTGCCAAGGAGATTGACCACATCCTCCAGCACCGCAGGGTATTTCTGAGTGCCGAGTTCTGTGGAACTGATCATAGAGTAGTTGTGGTTACTCTCCAGGTCCACTTCAGACCCCCCCCCCGTCGCTCCAGTGAACGCCTTAGGGTGTTTCATGTGGACAGTCTGAGGCTATTTCTGGTCGTTTCACAACACCCGGTGGCCTGACAGACGCTGTTCTTCTGTGGAACACCTTCAAGCATGAAACGCTCGATGCAGCCCAAGAATTGATTGGTGAATGTCCAAGATCATGACAGAATTTCATCTCACAGGAGATTGTCAGGGGATCACAATTTCCATCGTTCCCTGGGATGCAGGACTAGGTCACTGCTGAGAAGGGACAAGGTACAGTTTATCAGGAATCTTGCAGAGGAGGTCGAAAGTAATTTTCTAGTAAATGACCTTCGTCCTGCCTACCAAGCCCTGAGAAAGCTGAACTCCAAGCCTTCCTCACAGACAACTGCAGTCCGCTCAGCGAGTGGCCAGATAATCTTAGATACTGATGGGGTGTAGGTGCGTTGGACTAAATATTAAATGATATTGTATCAGGTTGATCCACCAACAGTTAACTCGGATGCGGATAATGTCGAGATTCCTTTGCCAGACCCACCCATCAACGAGGATTCACTCTTCCTTCGACTGAAGTCAGGGGAGTGATCTCCAAGCTGAAGAGTGGTTAAGCAGCAGATATCTGCGGTATCCCAGCTGAACTGTTATAGCCTGGTGGAGAACCTATAGCAAGGAGCTTGCATGCTGTCCTGTCTGCCATCTAGCAGACTGGTACCATTCCCCCTGACCTGCTGAGGGGTGTGGTTATTCCTGTCTGGAAGGGGAAAGGGGGTCGGTGGGACTGCAGCAATCACCGAGGCATGACATTACTCATACCAGGCAAGGTGCTAGCAAACATCCTACTGAGACGTATCAGAGACCACCTGCTGAGGTATAAGAGGCCGGAGCAATCTGGATTCACTCCTGGTAAGGTAAGTCCACAACAGACTGTATCCTGGTGCTTCGAGTCATTATAGAGCACCGTTGTGAGTTTGGATGTGGGCTGCTCGCAGCCTACATCGACCTCAAGAAGGCGTTTGATACAAAGAGGACTTCCAACAAGGATTATTGGATTAATAGCAAGCCTGTATACTGGCATTGAAATTACTGCAAAGAGTGGTGAGGGCCTGTCGAGCTTCTTCCCTGTTAGTTCAGGTGTGAGGTAAGGCTGTGTTCTTGCACTAACACTTTTCAACACTTGCTTGGATTGGATACTGGGTAGAGCTACTGTCTAAAGTCACCGTGGAGCATCTCTAGGCAATATCAAGGTTATAGACCTTGACTTTGCTGATGATGGTGCTATTCTATTTGAATTTCTAGAAACCCTAGTGGTGGCTCTTGATGCATTTAGCAATGAAGCAAAGCCCCTGGGGTTAGAAGCCTCCTGGACCAAGACCAAGATCCAGGATTTTGGAGGCCCGTTAGGAGTTCCTGTTCATTTGGTATGTGTGAGGTCATAGACAGCTTTATATATCTCGGTAGTACAGTTCAT